GCGCACTTCTGAAGACTTTGAAGAATTACAAGGCATTAGCGATCTTGCACAGAAGTTGGTTGTGAAGAATAAACATGAAGTGTATCCATTAGTGTACAAACTTGTGACACTAACCTTAGTTCTTCCCGTGGCTACTGCTACAGTCAAAAGAGCATTTTCTGCGATGACTTACGTCAAAAATCGTCTGCGCAATCGAATTGGAGATCAATGGTTGAATGATAGTTTGATTGCATATATTGAGAAGGATGTTTTTGATGAGATTGAAAATGATGTAATTATTGAACGTTATCAAAGTATGAAAACACGTAGAGAGCAATTGTAATAAGATATATCTTATTTTAATTTTTTCATCACTTTTTTAAAAGTTCGTTACTGACCCCCTAGTCTAAAATGTCTGCGTCCGCCCCTGGGTGTTGCGTTTGGTAATCAAACGCACTTCCAGTTTCTCACTCCCTCCATGTCGTTTTTGCACTCCACTCGCTTATTATTAGGTAAATGTGATATTAAAAATTGCATCAATAATTATCTATGATGGCTTATATGGTGAAGATTACTCAATAAGTACTCTACGTCGAACACTCCATTTCTAGGCCATCGACCACTACGAGACCTTCTACTTACATGCTAAGCCATCTATTGCCTTTAGAAGTTACATGACTTCATGCACTTATAAATACTCGAGACAGGTATAGATCTTGAAATTTTAGCTATCTGAATATACATTCTATGTTTTTTTCCCTAAGTCTACGTTCTCAAATTCATTATTAATTCTCACATAGGAGGTACAATGGGAGAGAAAGCCCCAACCTCAATTTGCATGTAGCATTTGTTTATTGAAAAAGCCGTCGGAGGATATGAAAGTTTGTTTCATAACAATTTCAGAAGACATAATTATTACGACGATTTGTTCACAGAGAAATAATTGAAAAAAAAAAGTATTTGGCTCCTATTTGGTTGGGATAAAAAATCAAACTTTTAGTAGATTTTTGATAAAAGTTAATGAAATATGTTGTTGAAAAATTGTGAGTCCCATGAAAATTAATGATCAAAATCAATCATTAATTTCGACTTAAATTAATAACTTGATTTTACTAAAGGGCTAGATTAGGTAAGAAACTAATTAATAGGGTAAAATGGTCAATTTAGCTCATTATTAATTATTCGATATCTGATTAAGATAGCAAGTTAAGATGATTTAATTTAAATAGTATTTGCTTATGTGATTTTATATATTTCGGAAGATCAATCTTAACCTGTAATAGAATAAGATTAGATTAATAATAAACTTGATATATTAAATTGAATATTGGGTCTCTTTTGTAGCTCCGATAAAATTTATAAGAACTTAAATTATACAAATAATTAAAGTCTAAGGATTGCACATATTACATGATCAATGTTTGATCAAACTCAACTGGTTAGCCTAACCTTAACCCGAATTTATTAATTAAAAATCAAAATTGGGATTTGACCTAAGTTTAACCATATACTTAGAAGAGTTTTGTGCTGCTTAAAATTCAAATTTCAAATTCCCACATATATACAACAACCTAAGCATTCTTAAACAAGGAACAAGACTTGTTCAAGCCTATATAAAAACTTGAAGTCTATAGATATTTCATTAGATTTTTTTCTTGATATCTAGTAACTAACAAGTTTTGCATTCTTGCAGTAGGTTCTTGTTTTTGAATTCTTTTGTAGATCTTGATGTCTATTCATTAGGTGCTATCTGAACTTTAAAAATACTAATGAAAGTCCAAGAGATGGAGGTAATTCAAGAAAAAGAAAAAAAAAATAAAGATTGTCAATGAAGTTAGAAATTGAAAGAATTTATACAGCACAGATGAGATTAAAGATTAATCACGTTGCAGGAATTTCAATATAAATGCTTATGTGACCATTTGTAGTGAGCTAGAAAAGATTATTGTTCCGATTAAATTTTTTTTTTTTCATGTTTATCGAGATTAAACTTTCGACAATAATAAATAGAACTTCATTTGGGGATTTCAACAAGCCGAAACTCGAGGTTAGGGTTTGACTCGGGTTTTTATTAGGGTCGGCAATGGGACAGGGGAGCCCCCAGGCATTTTCCATTTATGCACCCATTTAATTTTTATTTATTTATATTTTTCGGTAATTCATTTTATTGTCCCTATTTACTCAAATGAGATAATACTATGGTTATTAAAATTTTTTAATTAATTTATTTATTTTTTAAAAGTTAAATTATTCAATATATTTGATAAACTAAAATTTTTATTGTTTACCATATTCCTTAAATAATCTTAATTGTCATATTCTATTAAATTAATGAAATTTTGTAGGGTTTTTCTAGTTAAAGTATTGAAGTTTTTTTTAAAATAAATAAATTAATTAAATGGGGTTGGGGCGAGGAGGGGCCATTGTTACCCTGTGCCCGCCTCGAGAAGGAATTCTCCGTGCCTTTACCTGACTCAATTACTCAGTTAAGCGGATAATCCTCACCCCCGTTCGAGGCGGGCCCTATGGGTATCGGGTTTGACGGGTATTTTTGTCATCCCTAGTTTTTATTGGCTTGAGCAGAGCCAAAGCTCGGCCGAAAAATTGAAGCTTGGTTTGGGCCTAGTCGAGTCGAGTCGGCTTGTTTTTTCTTAATTCGTGACATCGTGACATTCTAAATTTTTTAAACAATTTAAAATGTGCAATTTATACAAATTATACTATAAATAAAAATTACAATCCTCCTTTTTTCGAGCTTGGAAGCGACTACAATCAACGTAGACAATGTTAAAATTGTACACGAATAACGTATTTCGTGTACAATTTTTTTGGAACAAATAAATTTAAAAATTGCGTAGATTTAAAATAAATTTTTGAAACAAAACAATTTTTTTGAAGCAAACAAATAAATGTTTTGAAACAAAAGTAGACCTTGCTGTCTATACAGGCAACTACGTAGCTGCCTCTTTCTTTAACACTTGCCATTTTTTTTTTTAAATAACACGGGCCCTTTTTGGCCAGTGACATGAGTTGGCCGTTTGGCTCGACAGCACAGGCTAGCTTAGTCTAAATTGATGCCCAAAAATTAAGGACAGCCCGAGCCTTGGCTCGATTTCTCCAAGTTGTGAGTCGGGTCGTTTCGGAAAGTTTTCGATTTGCGTGTATATTATTTTATGAAAGATTGTGTTGTTTAAAATAAAAGAGAGAAAAAGAATGAGATCAAACGAGGGCATAATCTTTTCCACTAAACATATCATAAAATAAAATATACCAAAAAGACACATCTAATGAAATACTCCATCCGTCTTAATTACATAGGTTGACTTTCCTATTTTTTTTTTTATCTCAATTATATAGTCCTATTTTTTTTTTATTGAGAATATTTTATTTTGTTCATTTATAAATGTACCTCTATTTAATTTGTTTAATTATAATCAATTTTCGTAATTTAATCTTGAAGTTTTACAAATAAAAATAAAGGTGTACTAATAAAGTTTTTGACAAAAAATGCTTTTTTATAATATTAAATAATTTTTTCTAATTTGTTTGAAAAACAAAATTAGTATAAGATGGAGGGAGTATATGTTTAATTGTTTATATATTTAGAAGTAGTATAAAAAAATTTAAAAATCACAGAAAATGAAATTTTAATTATGTTCACATTATGCAACGGTGCGTATGTGAAAACATTGGTGCATCCTTGAAACATGAAATTGGACTCCTTGTAAGTGCAGTGTACAGACAGCTCTTGTTTCCTGGCCTATTGGGGCACATTCCATGATTTACCTCCCTCACAAAGCTCTAGGGGTGGGGCGGAGCGGTGAGAGCCCTCAAGATTGGGGTTCAACCCTTCCATTTATTATTATTATTTTTTTTTATAACATTAGTGCATCTAAAAAAGTGACCACCTGTACCCCTCAAATTTCTAAGACACATCTAATGAAATACTCCATCCGTCTTAATTACATAGGTTGACTTTCCTATTTTTTTTTTTTATCTCAATTATATAGTCCTATTTTTTTTTTATTGAGAATATTTTATTTTGTTCATTTATAAATGTACCTCTATTTAATTTGTTTAATTATAATCAATTTTCGTAATTTAATCTTGAAGTTTTACAAATAAAAATAAAGGTGTACTAATAAAGTTTTTGACAAAAAATGCTTTTTTATAATATTAAATAATTTTTTCTAATTTGTTTGAAAAACAAAATTAGTATAAGATGGAGGGAGTATATGTTTAATTGTTTATATATTTAGAAGTAGTATAAAAAAATTTAAAAATCACAGAAAATGAAATTTTAATTATGTTCACATTATGCAACGGTGCGTATGTGAAAACATTGGTGCATCCTTGAAACATGAAATTGGACTCCTTGTAAGTGCAGTGTACAGATAGCTCTTGTTTCCTGGCCTGTTGGGGCACATTCCACGATTTACCTCCCTCACAAATCTCTAGGGGTGGGGAGAAGCGGTGAGAGCCCTCAAGATTGGGGTTCAACCCTTCCATTTATTATTATTATTTTTTTTTTATAACATTAGTGCATCTAAAAAAGTGACCACCTGTACCCCTCAAATTTCACTCCTCCCACTATTTTCTTCGCATTCCGCTCTCTATCGATTTCACACACATTTACGAAGAATCAGAGAGATGCACTTACGCACACAATGGCGGTGTCACACTCTAGATCTTTACTCGTCGCATTGTTATTGGTGGCTTTGACAATTTCTGCTCCCATAGGAAGCTCAGTCGCCAGTGCCGGCACCGGATTCCTCGGCCAGTTTCGCTTCACCATCATTAGCTGTCGGATGCGCAATCACGGTTGCTTCTTTCCTATTTGGATTTGCACTCACAATGTGAATCTCATCGATCGTCTATATATCATATATTTGATTATGTCTATCAATCGGCTTGGCTTATTTTAGGTTGGTGTTGTAATGGTAATAGTGAATGGTGATTTTTTTTTTTTTTTTTTTTGAATTAAATATTTTATATTTTGGATAGTTACTCCTCTCCACTAATTTGATAAGTGTATTTGACAAATAATCAAGGCCATTAATTTAATGCCCAAAAATTATCTATTAAAATACTAGAGAATTCATAAAACAATCTCCAAACACTCCTAATTACCCTATCAATCCCTATTGTGATTTTTTGTCAATCTTATTACCTTCTCCATGCCCCTTATCTTTTCTCTGGCACAATCCCTTATCTTTTCTCTGGCACAATTGAATCTTCAAACCACCGCATCATTTCTCAAAATTCAAATCATGGGTAGATCAAAACAATCTGCCAAAACCCGTGATGCAAATCCCATATGTAAAAACACATTAATCGGAAAAAAAAATGTTAAGCAAAAAAATAAAAAATTATAATTTAAAATTTTACTCATATGAGGTAAGAATCACCTTTATGTTTATTCACTTATAAGATATAAAAAAAAATTACTTATAAGTAAAAAATTCACCTATATGTAATTTAAATTATAAAAATTAACTTATAGTCGTATAATTTACTTATAAGTAAAAAATACTAACATAAAATTTTAATTATAAGTAAATATTTAATTTTTATGTTAAGTTGTATATAAACAAATTACTTATAAGTAAAAGATCACTATAAGTAAAAAAAATTCATACAAAAAAATTATAATTTAAAAATTTCACTAAGGGCACATAGTTAATTTTATTTTGTCAAAAAAAAGTTCAAAATCGATAGATAATAAACTCTAAAACATGAATTGAACTCTTTTAATCGCTATTAAAATTCATCCAACATTGATTCACTCGTAAACGCAAAGTTTAGGTAGAGAAAAAGTGGAAATTACACGGTAGCCGATGTTTGGAGACCAATTTTCAAAAATTAGGTACAAATTTTAATTATTCACAAATCATGTAATAATTATATATTTTAATATTATTAATTATAATATATTAATCAATCTCACCGACTCACCCAATTCGTCTCCAATCCCTTTCAAAAACCTAATCTCTCTCTCTCCCCCCCCCCCCCCCCTCCCCTCTCTTCCTTTCCTTTCCTAACGTTGCCAGCCAACATAAAGCTCCGGTGATTAACAAGCGACAGTGCTACAAATCGGGGTGGAAAAGAGGTGTGGTAGTGGTGTAAGGTGGAGGCAAGTTGGTATTGGTCCTCTGCTCAGCTTTTGTCACTTGACGTTGCTGGGAACATCAGCATTGCGACGATATGATATGGTGTGGTGGTGAGTATGGTGTGGATATAGGTGGCAATATGGTGTTTTTTTGGGGGGGGGGGGGGAGGGGGGTTTGTTTGTTGTATTTGCAGTTCTTGGCGGTGGCAGTGGTGTGGTACTGTACAGGCAATGGCTATGGTGGTCGATGTTCGTTGGACGTTGTGGTAATGGTGCATTGTTGGGAACTTGGGGGGTAGTGGTGGTGGTGGTGTTGGCGGCAAGATGGTAGTCAACAGTTGTGTGGTGGTATGGTGCAGTTAGTCGTGTTTCGATGGTCATTTTTGTTGTTGTTGGCGATGGCTGTGATGATATTGTGGCAGGGCGAGGTGTAATAGTGATTGTGACCAACTATCTAGTTGCTCTGTGACCAATTATTGGTAGTAAATTTGGATCGGGGTGGAGTTTTTGGTGCATGTGACAATTGGTCTGGTCTGTGACCTTTAAAATTTGATAATTTGTATTCAATATATAAATTGTGACCTATAGTTTTTTTGATCTTGTGACATAAAAAATTTTATTTGTGATTTCGAAATAATTTGTGATCAATTAATTTGAAATGTGTGACCAATAAATAAGTTTTGATCTATAATTATGTATTTGTGACAATTAATAGTATAATTGTGACCTTAATTAATTGTTGTGAAAATAGAAGAAAAGAAAAGAGAAAAGAGAAAAGAGAGAAGTCAATAGACATGTGTGTGTTTTGATAAAAATTCAATGGGAAAAAAATCAAACGAAGAAAAAATAGTAGTTATTTTAGAGTATTAAAAATAAATGCTGCATCATTAAAACCTTATTAAGAAAATCCAGTAGGATAAAACCTATGCGAAGGAAAAAGAGTACATCTACTCACCCTAATGTTGATCCCCGAAAATCTTTGAATCGCCACATCTCAATTTCATGAACTAATTTCTTGAATATAGATGCTGACAATGTTTTGGTGAATAAATCGGCTATATTGTCACTTGAGCGAATTTGTTGGATACCGATGTCGTCATTCTTTTGAAACTCATGTATATAAAAGAAATGTTTTGTCCTATCACTTTTGATATAGTTTCTTTGAATTGTGCAATCCAAGTTACATTGTCTTCATACAAAATTTTTGAACTATCTTTTATTGAAGTTTACTCGCATGATGTTTAGATATGATAGATCATATTTCTCAACATACACATTCTCAGCCTGCTTTATGGATTACAATAATTTCAGAATGGTTTGAAGATGCTATTAAGGATTGCTTCACAGATCTCCATGATATAGTCATTCCTTCACGTGTAACACACATATCTTGTTTGTGATTTAGTTTTATATGGATCAGATAAATAATCTGCATCTGCATATCTCACTAAAATAGATCCAGACTCTTGAGAATAAAATCATCCCAAATCAATAGTATTCTTAGGTAACGAAAAATATGTTTAACACTATTCTAATGTTTTTGAGTTGGTGTAGAGTTATATATTGCAAGAAGATTTACAGAAAAGCTATGTAGAGTCTAGTGTAGTTTACAAGATAAGTTAATACTCAAATTGCACTAAAATATGGTATTTCAGGATCAAGAACCTTTTCTTCATTTTCAAGTGGACGAAATGGATTTTTTCACATCAAATGATCAAACGACCGTAAGTGATGCCAATAGATGTACATTATCCATGTAGAAGCGTTTTAAAACTTTTTCTGTATATGTAGATTGATAAACAAATAATCCTTCTGCAAATGTTCAATCTGCAATCTAAGGTAAAATTTGATTTTTTTTTCCAAATCTTTCATCTCAAATTTTTTTTTTAAATAATCTGCAATTTTGTTGAACTCTTCATGAGTTCCAATTAAATTTAAATTATCAACATAAACTATCACAATTGCAAATCTAATATTTATTTTTTTATAAAAACACGTTGGCAGACATCGTCATTTTTATAACCTTCCTTCAACAAATATCCGGTGAAGTAATTATACCACATGCATTCAAATTGTTTCAATTCATATAATGATTTTTACAATTTAATTGAGAACATGGTTCTCCGACATGTATCATTTGAGCTATGCTTCAGACATGTTGAATCTTTCAAAGATAACATTAATAGTCATGCCAGATGAGTTGACTATCACGTATTTAAAATTTCATGTATCATTAAGATTATATGATATAGACTCTTGATTTCATCCACGATAATCCTTGCGAACTACAGTATGTTGAAAGTCGTGCATTAAACATTACGACTACATTTTTCTCATTTTCTTTTCGCATAATTATATACCTTTAGATTTTCGGATTACAGATAAAAAAAAAACTTCATGTTTCACTAATAAATTCAATTTAGGATTGCATCCCTTTTATTTGGCCAAACATTACTTTGATCAACATATTTCGATGCATTTATTTCGATTCATCGCGATTCACATATGACAGTGTAGATCATATATAAAATTGTTGTCGACAACTTTTTCTTTTTTCGATTCTATTTCTTGCTCCATAATGATATAACTTGTTTAGATATCTAAATTTTCAACATATCAGGTACCTGAACCTCTTCTAGGATTTCGTAATTTGTTATGTCTAAATACTCATCAAGAGTATAAGCCTCCTTAATGAGACCATTTTTTTTTTTTTTTTTT